TGGGCCAGGCAGGACCAGAAAAATTCTAGCTACAGAAGATTAGATAGTTGTAATTATAGTTTTCCTTGTTAAAAAATTCAGAAAAGAAACTCGCTAAGAGGTGTTAAGTATGTAAGTTTGAAAGACATCATAAGATAGTTTTCTGTTGGTAATACAAGACAAGATAGAAAGTGAATTAGGTACTCTTTGGACTCACTAAAATAGAGTAGATAATGGAATATTTTCTCTGAGTTTGTCAAATGCAAATGGACTTGACATTGTTTAGGTATTTATTGCTTGTATATATTGTATAGAGTTATTGTACTTATTGTATATAGTTTTTCTTATACTAGATGTAAGTTTTATTTTTTTATTTTTTATTAGACAAAAAGGGGGAAATGTGGTGATATTTTATTTGTGCTGAAATGTGATATTTTATTTGTGCTTTAATAAATAAAGCTTTTGCCTGGAAGTCAGAGGAAATAGCAAGCCATTTTAAGTGAACAAAGAAGTCGGGCAATAGTAGCACATGCCCTTAATCCTATCACTTGTCAGGCAGGATCTCTGTGTGTTCAAGGCCACACTGGAAACAGAGCCAAGCATGGTGACACATGCCTTAAATTCTAAAACTAGTTAACTATGGAGGTCTGGAGGTCTGTAAAGACAGACAGGAAGAAACAGAGCTGGGTAGGAAGAGGAAGTAATGTAGCTGAAAGAAGAGAGCAAATCAGATGGCAGAACAGCAAGGCATGTAGGCATGGGTAAATAGGGCATCGCAGCATTTGGAAGCTGCAGAGTTGGTGAGATAAGATTCGCTGGTGGCTTTCCCTGTTCCCCTGATCTCTCTAATGCTTTTTCACCCATATATTTGGCCCCATATTTTTTATTTAATAAGACCATTTAGAAATTCATCTACAATTGGTGCCCAATGTGGGGCAAGAGTTTCCACCTAAAACCCCAGAGAACTTAATAAGAGATTCTAAAGTGGAGCTAAAAACAGCTTCTTAGTTGTATCTCAGGCAAGCCATGAGCTGCAGCATGCATGCTTGATCTACAGCATGGTGGATTCCCACCCAGTTACACAGAGGTTTCTCCAATGTTATCTTATAGGAGGCAGATGGTGGGCCCCTCCATTGAGGAAGTTCAGCATGGGAAACTTAAGGACTACAGAACCCCTTCCCCTTACAGGTGAAAAGTACAAGAGTCCATATTCTAGCAGGTGAAAAGGTTTTATATTAAAGAGATATGTGGTGGAGAACTGAAGAAAGACTTAGAGAGGGTCTGCAGCATCCAAACTGGCTAAGTGGGTCATGAGAACCAGAAAAGTAGAAGTGCATAATAAACTAGAAAGCTGCTGAGATAAGATGAAGGACACAGCCGCAACTGCAAAGAAGCCTTCACAAATCTAGGGACCATACTAAGTTTAAAAAACACAGACTGCTCTTTGGGTGATAAAGTCCTTGTGAGTGAAGGGATATGTCTAGCGCCGATTAATAATAGTGTGCTTGCTGTTTTTTTTAAAGATGATGTAATTGAATTATTGCCAAGCTCTTGTTGTTCCTTGTATGACTTGATAGTTTTCTTTTCTGTATATAAACTACTGATTTGAAGAAGTAAAATTGCAGCAGATTCAAACCACTTCTGAGTGTGTTGTCTGTCTGTCAGTCGCCGAATCCTTGCCTTCCTGACTACCCAAGCCCTGGTTCTCCTACGGTCCTGATACCCCCGTCGGGCCAGTCCATGGCAGATGCCCCAACATTGCAGAAGAACTTTGAGTAACTGTCCAAGCAGCCAGCTATCTCTGTCATTCTAGATTTTTGGAAGTTGCTTACAATGCACTTCCTATTTACTTAGGTAATATCATATCCTTCTGGGGTCTTTGATGTAGTTGAGGACTAGATAGTTATAATTATAGTTTTCCTTGGTTATGATAAGAGATAGGGTAGAAATGAAACCTTAGACTCACAAATACAGGATATCTTCTTTAATTTTGCCAAATACAAATAGACTAGATATTATAACTAAAATTCTTGCTTGATAACTGTTTTGTTATATGTAATTTTACTATGTTGAAGTTAAAACCTTCCTTTTGAATAGAAAGAAAAGGGGAAATAATGGGTGATATGCTGTGAAAATGTGTTGTTCTAATTTGTTGGTAAATAAAGCTGTCTGGCCAATGGTGGGGCAGAATAAGGTTAGGCAGGACATTCTAACTAGAGAGAGAGAAAGGAGAAAGACAGAGCAGAGGAGATGCTGTCAGCTGCTGCCATGAGAAACAAGATGTAAAGGTACTGGTAAGCCATAAGCCATGTGGCAAAGTATAGATTTATAGAAATAAGTTAATTGAAGATGTAAGAACTAGCTAGTGAGAAGCCTGAGCCATTAGGCCATATCATTTGTAAATAATATGAGCCTCTGTGTGTTTATTTGGGTCCAAGTGGCTGTGGGACCACAGGGCAGCAGGAGCTGGGTGGCACCAGAAAAAAACTTCCAGCCACAAAAGACAGCTAAACCTAAAGGGGCATTTGAGGGGCAGTATGGACTTCTCATACAGTCGACACTTCCATATATATATATATGGAAGCTTCCATATATATATATGAAAGTAATCTAAATGAAATCACCAAATGACATGGGATACAGAGCCCCAACTGGCCATTTCTTGTCACCAAAGGAAGCTTCCAGTACCAGGATTGGTTTACATCTAATTGAGTTCTTAGCCAAAGGTGTCCCATGGGAACCTCCAAAGAAACAAAGCTGTTGCTAAGACTACAGTTTGCTCTCCACTAACCAACAGCAAGGCATCTTTGTTGAAGATACCTATGCAACTTATTGAACATGGAGATGTTGAACTGGTGCCTACATAGAGCCTTCATCCCTGTGTGCTAGCATCTTTGGCACAGGAAGGTACTCTGCCTACTACCAAAGGAGAAACTTAAACACTACCCCACCTACAAACCCTTTGATCTACAGTGGTATCCTGTCTGGAAGATATGCTAGTGGTGGCACAAAACTTGTGGGAGTAACCAACCAGTATCTGATTTGACTTAAGGCCCACTCTGTGAGATGGAACCCATATCTAACACTGCTTGGTGACCAAGAACCTGAGACTAGATAGCCCAGGAACCTAGGGTAAAACCAAATACTGCTATTCTAAAACAAAATAAAACATAACAAAATAAACAAATAAAAACATAGCATCAAAATGACTCCTAATGACATTCTGCTATACTCATAGATCAGTGCCATGCACAGCCATCATCTGAGAAGCTTCCTCCTGCAGCAGATGGGAACAAATACAGAGACCCACAGCCAGACAATATGCAGAGAGTGTGAGACCATGAAACACTCAGCTCTAAAAAGGATGTCTCCATCAAATCCCTCCCCTCAAAGCTCAGAGAAAACCTCCAAAGAGGAGGTGGAAAGAATGTAAGATCCAGAGGGGATGGAGGACACCAAGAAAACAAGGGCCTCTAAATCAACAAAATCAACATATATATGAACTCACAGAGACTGAGGCAGCATGCTCAGGGCCTGCAGAGGTCTGCACCAGATGGGTTCCTAGAACTAAAAGGAGAAGTAAACACATGCCCCCATCCCTATCCTAGATGCATTTTCTAATTAATTATCATGTACAAATGATATACTGTTTTATTCCCTCTTTTTATACTACACAGCCTCTGCCTATATATTATGGCTTTCAGCTTAGTGTTTTTATGGGATTCTTGAGTGTGTGAATGAACTGGCCTCTGTTTCTTGTGCTTTCTCTTGGGCCCATTTCCTTCTGTTTGTTTTGTTCAATTCTGATGTGTTAGTTTTTGTTTTATCATATCATATTATATTATGATCCTTTACAATCCTGTTTTCTGATGAGAGACAGAAAGGGGTTAGATATGGATGGCAAGGGAGGAGTAGAGGAAAGGGAAATCATAATCAGGATATATTATGTGAGAAAAAAAATCTATTTTTGATAAAAGAAAAAATACTCAAAAAAGCCAAAAAAGAAAAGAAGAAAAAGAAAACAAGAAAAAAGAGAATAGATGTTTTAAAAGAAAAAAAAGTGGTTTGGCCCCACAGGCTCATATTTGAATGCTTACTCATCAGGGAGTGGCACTACTTGGGAGGGATTAGGAGGTGTGGCCTTGTTGGAGGAAGTGTGTCACTGGGGGTAGGCTTTGAGGTTTCAAAAAGCCCAAGCCAGGCTGCCTGCATGCTACCATAATCCCCACCATGACGGCTATGGACAAAACCTTTAAAACTGTAAGCAAGCTCCAATTAAATGCTTTCCTTTGTTGCCATAGTTACGGTATTTCTTCACAACAATAGAATAATGATCAGAACTATAGTGAAAGTTTCCAATTTTACCAGTTTTAAACTTATTCCATGTTCCAGGACAGCCATGGCTGTTAACACAGAGAAACCCTGTCTCGAAAACAAAACAAAACAAATCCTCATTCCAACTGGCCAATGATGCTCTCCTAGTTTCCATTTGTTGCTGTGACAAGTACCATGACCAAATAAAGAAAGAGAGGGTTTATTTAAGCTTATACTTGCAGTTCATAGTCCATCCTTTGATAGAAGTCAGGGCAGGAACTTAAGCAGGTCAGGGACTTAACACAGAAACAATAGAGAAACACTGCTTGCTGCCCACACTCTGGCTTTCTCAGACAGTTCAGGACCACCTACCTAGGGATCGTGCCCTTTACTGTGGACTGAAGTCTCCTGTATCAATTAATAAGACAACCCCCTACAGACGTGTCCACAAGATAATATGTTCTAAGAAATTCCTCAAACAAGGCTTTTCTCAGATGACTTTAGTCTGTGTCAAGCTGACAATGAAAGCTAGGACAACTACATAGGTCATTAACCACATTTTGAAATTCAGCCAACTGCAGGTGGCCCTACACATTTGAAAAAAAGCCAGCAACAACAACCTTCCAAAAAGCCTGTGTGATGACTCCATAGCAGCCTATGCATGAGCACTCTGCTTGCCAAGTCTACAGTCCCCTCATACCTGCTCCTTAAGTTCCCGGTAACACAAGCTGCAGCCTTTGTCTGTAGGAGCCAGAAGCTATGAACACAATGTCTCCTCCTACTCCACCATGGCCTTCACTTAGTAAGCTTTCAGCTTCAGACTTGGCATTGATGATCTCTAAGTACAGTGTTCCCATCAAAATCATCTGAAGACCTGCTGGGAGTGCATTGTAGACTACTTGGGTTCAGATAGTATTCCTCATCTACTGCCAAGTGACTCAGTCTCAACAGCAACTCCACCTCGAACTTGATCCTCTGGGCTTTTATTTCTGAGTTTATTTTATTTAAAGATACATGGGTAATTAGATTTAAAGTAATCACAACTCTGATTTGCAAGTATAGCATTAAGCCAACACTCTCTCTGTATGCTTACTCTTCCACTGATACTCCCATTCTTCCTGAATATTTGAAGATAATGACCCAAAACAAATTGATGGAAACAAAGGTCTAACAAGTTCCCCAAGCTAAGCCAGCCTCAAAAACTAATGAAGGTGGATCCACCAGTCAGTGGCCAAACTGTGCAAAGATTCTTGGTCCTACTCTTTCTTGGGACATTCACAAAGACATGTGGTGGCTTGTTGGTCTGTGAAATAAGTCATTTTTTCTCACTATGTATATAATCTTGAGTCAACTACTGTCATGTAATTGATCACATGTCCCTTCTTAGCTTCTGCTTCTCTCAAGAACCCAGTAGTACTATATACATGCACAGCAGCCATTCACACATAACTAAACTGAATGAAGCCTCCTCTTTCTTTTTGTCATGGGGTTGTTTTCTCAAAGCCACATTCCTAACAATAAGGATTCTAACTCTTTCAATGAATAAAGGGCAGGATTTCAAGCCTGGGGCATGCCTTTAATCCCAGCAATTAGGAGGCTGAGGCAGGTGGATTTCTGTCAGTTTGAGACCAGCCCAGTCTACATAGTGAGTTACAGGACAGCCAGCACTACATAATGAGACTCTGTCTTGAACTCCCTTGCCCTAAATAAAATAAAATAAATGGCAGGATTTCACCGATGATAATTCCGGTGTGCAGTGGGGAACTCCATACATTTGTCAGGTAGCTTTATAAAATAAGGGAGATAGTCTCTAATGTCCTCACGTCCCCACCAGTAGCTGTCAGTCCAGACCATTCTCTGGGGAACACTGCTTTCTTTGACAAAACCCCTCAACCTTGAGGTTGCGATCTTTCCACAAAGGAACTGCCAGGTTAAGTGAACACAGACGTCTTTCAGAGGTCCTGAAAGGCTCGCCTGTGCATGTCTCTCTACAATTGGCTTGAGCCACCAGCCCTGGACTAGGTGTGATGCGGGCCCTCATCCCTTCCCCAAAGTGCCTTGCTTAATCATGGTAGTCTCTCTGTCTCTCCTAAAGGCTCGTTCATGTCTTAGTCCATTCATGGTCTACTTTTGATGACCCCTGTAATGTCACTTACTTCAGAAGATCAGTGGCTCATCCAGACATTTCTTTTCCATGGGGTGTCTTAAGCTCTCTGCAGTTTCCTCAGTATATAACCAAGGGGTAGTCATGGTGAAGGAAGCAACAATGGAGGCAGGAGGAGCTCAGAATGTCCTGGCGGGACTGTCCCTTTCCCCGGCCCTGCTGGTCTGCCCTTTAGTGTATCTTGGGAGGCATTTGAGCTGAGCTTCCTTTGTGATTTCTACACTTTTTGGAGAAGAAAGTTGATGTAGGACTCTACTGAATGAGTACATTTTTTAAATACAAGGAATATATA